CAGTGATGAGTTCCACTCAATTGATTGTTCGACGATGATCCGTAGTGTTGCAATCTGGTCTGTGCACGACCGATCCTTACGGAATCCAGCTTGTTGATCTCGAAGTTGAGCGTCTACTGTGTCTTTCATTCTGTTCAGTAACACTCTGTTAAAGACTTTTCCTTGTACTGCAGTAGTGTAATGCCTCTGTAATTTTCACACTTGCTCAGGTCTCCATTCTTTGAAATCTTGATGAGGTGTCCTTCCTTCCAGTCCATCGGCACTTTTTCCTTCTCCCAAAGCTTCTTGAATAGAAGATGAAGCATGTTTGTAGTTACTTCGATGTCTGACTTAAGTGCTTCAGCTGGTATATTGTCGGGTCCTGCTGCTTTCTCGCTCTTGATTTGTCTGATGGCCATTCTGATTTCGTCCATCGTTGGTGGATTGACATCTATACGAAGATCTGTGTGTGCTGCTTCGATGTCCGGTGGATTCAGTGGTGCCGGCCTATTCAGGAGTTCCTCGAAGTACTCTGCCCAGTGATTGGCCCGTCTTCTTTGTCTTTGACTGGTCTCTCTGGTTTACTATATTTCCCTGCTAGTTTCTTAGTCGTATCGTAAAGCTGTTTCATATTTCCTTCTCTTGCAGCTTTTTCCGCCGTCGTTGCTAGTTCTTCCACGTATTTATGTTTGTCGGCTCTAATGCTCTTTTTCACTTGGTTGCTTGCTTCTATGTACTCAGCTTGTGCTTGGACTTTCCCTGCTGTCTTCTTGTTCTTCCTTTCTTTGATCCTGTCCAGTGTTTTTATATAGACCCATTCCTTGTGATGATGCTTCTTGGGGCCCAGAACCTCTTGACACGTTGAAGTTACTGCTTCTTTGATACCTCATTTCCGTTGCTATATGACTGGTCTCCCACATTGTCCGGACGTTCCATGTACCTATAAAAATTTTTGCTCTGGTTGTTAGAAGGGTCATCGTCCTCATGGCTTCCGAAGGAACTCGGCTTTCACCCTGAGGCGTCATAATTCTTCTAAATGAAGACCTTCTAACTCCCAGGGCAGAGTTTAAATGGTTTGAGTTATTTTTTCTGGTTAGCATATTTAGCGAGTTAGTTTTCTACGGGATGGGGTCGCTAACCCCATGCCCAACCCTCCTCGTTTACCCGGGCTTGGGACCGGCAGTAGCTCTAGAAGAGCTACAGGCGGAGTTAATTGTGATACAAAAAAATATTTATTATTGACAATAAACTACTAATATTATAACCATAATGTTCTCATTTTTCCATATACGGTGTTTTATGAGCGTCCTCATATTGAGTAAACCTTGAAGTAACACCATAATTACAATACTTGTTGCAGATACAATTTTTGGATCATCCCAGATAGTTACGATAAAATTCTTTTGTACACACCCTTCGCAAAGATATGAACATAGCCTACTGTGAGGATCTATATCCACTATAAATTAAACATACTGTTAATAAGATATGTTTTTTCGTGAAATTTGTAATAATCAGTTATTAATATCTAGGATCCTTTCACTGGAAACATCTCACTACATTATATTTAATATGATCCATGCACACAAATGATTGTTATATGGACAGGTGAACATAATTGTTTCATATTTAACGTCTTATTGAGAAAAAAATGCTAAATACTGAATAATGAAACATATACATGAAAACTGATACACAGGATCACACTATGAGTGAAATAGATGCACAATCAAATAAATCTACGATCGATGAAACATGTATACAGTAATACTAAGAAAAACTTGAAGATCAACTATAATTAAGTGACCTTGGAATTGAGCAATTGTAAAATAATGAGGTATGAGTAAAACTATCGTTGAGTTGTAAGAAATACAAAAGTAAACTTTGCTGTGTGATAAACTAATTAGGTAGGTGACTCACTACAACCTCTCAATGTTATTTAACCGATTTAACATCATGTGTTCAGCCAAATTATAACTATTAGCTAGTGCTTGAACTAAATGGTGAAGATAAAAAGAGATACCAAACACTGAACACTACAGTAACAATCTCATTCACTTCAATAAATAAAATATTCTCATTTAAAGAAAGCCTAATTTCACATGAGTCACTTGAAGGTAACTAAAGAAAATTTATCTTACCTCATAAAATAAACAACAAATTCCAAATGGAAATAACTTGGACAGTGACTAACACATAAAATAATAAATGTAGTAAGATATAGGTCCACGTTCCTACGGTTTTAAGCAACATAATGAGTAGAAATGTAACTGGAAACAACTTTGATTCCTTTAAAATATGCGCCTGATTACTGACCACAAAGGGTTGATTGATTATTCTGAATTTACTAAAAGAATCAGATAAATAAGAATTTAGGTAACATGTAAAGGTCGATATGAAAGTTGTCATCTGGAGAATCTGCCAATGTCATTATTGTTATTTAACCTTTTTATAGATATCATTATCTACCTCCCACTTTCCGACGATAACACAAGGATTTTTAGACTAATAATGCTTTCCGATAATAAATGTATTAAGTTCGAATCTCAGTCCGAGCATTAACACTGTAGACACGTATAGGATGAAACGCATGTCTTGGATTACATTGATAGCCATGATGCAAATTTATCAAGACTTGTAACTAAATGAACTATCAAGTTAATCTGCTAAGAATGCATATGTTAGTAAACTGAGCAAATGTAGTGCTAATATCGACAATGGGAAAACTCCAACTCATTGATGTAAAGCGATTCACTGAAATTTAGTTTAAGAATGAGGAAATTCGGCCAGTGTGACGCCTACTTTGCTAAAAGAACGTTCGTGAAACCAGATGTACTAATATTTACAGAACTCTAGCATCGTAGAGCACCTGCAAGTATCCCGCTGAGTCTCACACTATGTTTATACTACACAGTATTCTGGTTTGTTGTTTTACATAGCAAGTAACACACATGTCATAGGTGTCAGCACTAGCTTGTTTTGGAATCGGAAAAAATATATAAATGCAGTTAAATGCTGACAGGATGGGGAGTTCCGGATAGGTAACGCGACATCTCAAGACCACAAGGTTTGTGGCTTGTCCATCACTTCAATGATATATATATGCATGAAGCGTGAATATCAGTATTCGACCTATAACATCAAGATTACAACGCATCTGTACTCTGCATAGCTGATTAGAGAAGCGTTAGGAAGCATGTAATAGTCATTGAATCAAAACAAAGTCCGTGATCGACATGAAGTTTTGGATAAAGCGGATGCATTAGAAGTTATGATTGGAAAGCGACAAACCATGAAGAGAATATTATTTTTGTTTTCTCTTCAAATCTTTCCTTTGGTGATATAATGTGTAGCTATTGAATTGACACATCTACTCCAGGTGCTAAGTTATTGGGAGTCCATCCAAATGATGTCCACAAAAATGGTTACAGTTTATCATAGGTATCAGTTCACCACGTAATTTTATACGCAGGCTTTTTCTCTAACAATCATACGAGAAGTAGGTATAAAGACAGTATTTTAATATATCAACTACTTTAGTCAATACAAACTAATAATAAAATCCATTGATTTGTCCCGTTAATATTTAGGTCTTATTTGAATTTAACATCATCCACTAGGTAGAGGATACTGAATATTGAAAAAAAGAATAATAGGCATTCTTGGTTAGGTAAAAGTGTACCTAAAATTTAATTGTGGACATTACATATATACTCACATATACACAAGAAAAACAAGACAATCATTTAATAAAATCTACCTTTAAAATGATGTAACTAAAAACTAACAATAAACATGTAAACAAAACAAAATAGGTGAACAATTCTAAAGATGGCATTCATAAACAAGCAAGAAAGAGCACACCATATGTGCTTTGTTGTAAAACACTTACTAAACCAAAATAGTAAATAATAAGTTAACAAAAAAAAACGCTGAACTAAATTTCTATCATAAATTGATGTTATACATCGTTCAAATATAGACACACGTAATTATGGAATAAAAAAATGACATTTTAAATTACATTCAGTTAAAACATATAGGGAACATAAAAAAGCTGAAATGAAACAAACTATTCATAATAGTTTTTGTGAAAAATGTTAGTCACCGGCTACCATGTAACTGCATCTCGTTACGTTGCTCCATTGCCTTGTGGATCAGACCTTTAGATCAAAGGCTCCGGGTGTGACCTTCTAAGCAAACCACCTTATTCGGTCTAGGCAGTATCACAGCCCACACACAAATCAAGTGACTTGTGTGGAGTATATGTATTCGGCGCCCCCTTATAACCGATATTTATGTGTTCAAATAAGCGAATTACTTATCAACTTGTTCATAAGATATTGTTTGACTTACCACCTATGAATTGATAAATGGTAGCGTGGTGTGTGCTACTGATGTTGACAGATATAAGTAGTACGTATCACCAATCAAAGTGAAATGCCTGACGGCAGAGGGTTAAGGAGATCAAAGAAAAAAGAATGACTGGTGTGGAAACGAAGAAACAATCAAGTCTGAGACGATTGATTGACATTTCGCAAGTGAAGTATTTGCTGTATGGTTCTCGGATTTTACCAAGAGATTTTGTAATTTTATATTCACATATATTTTGTTGCGACCCTGGCGTTCTCGTTCACTACAATACTTTCTTATTTAACTATATCTCGTCTGGTATTGACTGATCACAGAAATGTAGAATATTTGATGGAAATTTGACGGAAATGTTTAACTGAAACGAAAAATATCTATTTTGTTTATAATCAAATTTATTTCTATATAAAATGTAAACAGCACAATAGAAAAACAAACAAACAATAGAACGCATAAATAATAATTCAATAAAATAATGAACATAAGTACCAACGAAAAAAATATATTAAAAAGAGGAAAATATAGATACAAGTAATACAAATATATAATAATGAACAAACGGACGGACACCCATCTGCAGGTGACTAAATAACGAAAGAAAAAAGAGAATGAATTAACAATAAAATGTAATAGATTATGACTTAGTTATTTTATACAAGTTTTAAACTAATCAATTTTTTTCGCAAATATGAAGCACGTATATGCGACCAAATGTGATAACGTTTTTTTATAGATATGCATATTTCTGAAGATTCAGGCATAAACCGCCTGTATAGTGTATGTGAATTTAATTTATTATTATTATTAAGATCAGTATTATTAATATCAGCAGACGGAAGACTATTTGCTTCTGATTGAAGTCGTTTGTGTATAGCTTCAGTTGCTGCGGAGAAACTTGGCCATAAACCTAAACAGATAGATAAAAAGAAATAATTAACAAACTGAGCGTATTCATCTTGATATCACAAAAAAACATTCATCATTTCCTAAATGATAGTGATTTGAAGATATTTATCAGTCTCTGTGATCTGAGAGTACCTAACGTAAGAACGCTATGTAAGATTTCAGTACACATGTGGTTTTCATTTGAAATTAATACAGTAATGTCTTGTTCTGTATGATATTTCTTGATATAGACGATGTAGAAAGCTTAGATAATTAGTTTGACTTATATTTAACTGCGATGAAAAACATTAGAATAGTTGGAAATGACAACATGCCAGAATAATCGTGTCTTATGCCGAAAATATTTTGCAATGACTTCATTCTGAACTGAAATCTTCAAAATTTATCAAGAAATAAAACACACTTATAAAGAAGTTTTCTCTATTCTACCAAAAATATATTCCCATCGATCACGTGATATGTTAATCACATTTGTATTTGTTAATTAGGAAATACAAAAGGTGCACATGGCGTACAATAATTGACAATTAACGTTATTGAAATATGTTCTAACAGCATTATGAATAAAAAGCCTTGAAAATTGTAAATAAAGGATGTAGAAGGGGAAAATTTTGAACATCATTATGAAGATTTGTCGTCCACTTTATATTTACGTTGCTGTATTCAAATTTCGATGTTCATGGTTGAAAGTTAAAAATTTATGTTTTGATATGCATTTGTTTATCTATACATCATTGATGGTTTATGTCAGATTATGATACGGGAAAAACGACCTAAGAAAAGCTTCAATACACAGCCGCTAATTAATAGTCTACCGTCCACAAACTCAAATTAGCGTGAGCGAGAGCTGCCGATTATGAGTACAAAAAAAAAGATGTTTCATATCCTCTTTACGTGTCGAATGTAGTTCATTTAAGTACATGGTATTCAATACCTGAGATAATGTTATGCACTTTGATATGTAAAAAGCTTCTGGCAAGAACCTGCTTCGGTCATTGCTACCGACACAGCATATTAACAAATACTGAATAAGCCCCAGTGAAACACATTATTGTGATACGGACAAAAATATTTTACTTTTCAGTATAAAATTGTAGAGATTGTTAGACGTTATTCAAATCATGAACCAATCAATGTTAGACCACCATTAAAATATGGTATACATATAATACATTTGAAAGCCTATTATAAATAATTTATAGTCTTAAATATCAAATTGCATTGAATCAACGCTTAGCACAGCTAGTTGTTGTCAACCGGTTTATATTTCTTTTTATATTCTCCTACAGATTCTCTCACGTATGTTTCTCTGAATACTCGTCCAAAATGCACAGTCAGAATCATAACCTATCAACGACTGAGTGTTATATATATTGAAAATGTTAATTGCTGCTGCCGTTGTCATTCAAAACTAATGATTCGAAATGATTCATTTAGGATGGCAGTGAAAATGTGAGTTACTGACATTTGACAACACAGACAATAGTACTTTCTATCGATGGTTTGCTTCTGTATAGAGTACATACGTATATGCAAGAATATTAGTCAGAAGTTTGAGCTTCTTAGGAATTCTTATCGGAATACATTAATAAAATTTATGTCGAAAAATAGTTGATGAATTTACCTGCACCGACACCAGCAACAATTGCTGCCCCTATACAACTACATTCTTCAAGACCTCTGCGTTCCACTGGGATTCCGATTGTATTGGACATACGCTGTAGTAACCAATTTGAACGTGCCACATTTCCATTAACATAGAGAATAGAAGGAGAAATGCCTGGAGAAAAGAACGGAAAAATTAAATAGGAGAATATAGTATTCATCAAGTTTGCATATCAATAATTTATTCACAAACAGAAAGATTGTGATGTCTATTTTGTATGACCACGATTGTAGTTGAAATGTCTGGGACTCAAACCACATTATTACATTGATAAGATAGATCAAAATTTGTAAGCGTTGGGATAAAATGTATGCTTTCAACAGGCACTAGCTAACAAAGTCGGATAATCAATCAACTGTAAAACATTCACACCTTAATAACAGATAGATTGGAAGAAATTATGGGTCTATAGGGTTTCAAGATAATAAATGAACAGAATTTTTGCAACTGAAAATTTTGAATCTGTATGTGGTGAGCAATTAGTAAGAGACTATAAAAAGATATATTTAGTAAGGATAAAATAGGAAAATAATTGAGAGAAATGGGAGTAATATGAAAAGTCTGATTATTTATTCACAAATTATTCCACTCACGCGTACAACTCTGAAATCACGATCAGCCTAAAATGATCTTATAAGGTTAGTTAGTATACAAATAAGAACTCAATTTGCAATGTATCGTTTGAATAAACTGTGGTACGTAACCTAACAGTTCAAAAAATAGGTTTTCTAGAATACATATATCGATAGAGTAGCGTAGGGAATAAGTGAGGATAAACCTGAGAAAAAATCATGTTAAAAGCAATTACTCCGTTTTATGAATTGCGATAGAGCAATGAGAAGACAGAGTTAATCTGAAAAAGTGATGTCATTGTAATATACATTTCGAATAATCTGACCACACATATACTTGTCAGGGCATTTTATATGAACATTAATAAAGGTCAGTTAAATGAAAGTTCAAGTAATCAAGGTAATAAAGGAGAGAGAAAATTTTTTACATCGTATAGAAGGAATAAGAAATTGCCGTATTACCCTAGGCCATAAAATGACCTAAGGATTATCAAGGTAAAGTAAAGGCTGCGACAAATTGTTTTTGTACACATAAGGGGGGTTTAGATTTACGAATAGTCAAGGCTTCAATAAACCTGAGAATTCGTCCTTGAAAATTTCTATACAACGTCTTAAAAGCTGTGTTGATGTCAATTGCATGCCTCGTCTCAATGTGTTTTGCAATCGATGAACATGGTTTACTACTTCCCACGTTAATCGGATCATTTGACATTAACTGGTTTTGAAGACATCTAGGCACACGTTCCATGACCCTTAATTGTATTGTTCGGTTACTCCTTCCTGTGTATGTATGTCCGCACAAACACGTAGATTGGTAAATGAAATGGGATATGACGTAACCATTTGTGTATTGTCTAGATCTATTCAGAATCATGGGTTTAGATTTTTCAATCCCAACCAGCTTAGCAGCATAATAGGTTTTCTCGACGGCTGCTTTCAATCTCTGTCTTAAAATCATGCTATTGGATTCACCTCTATATGGTAGACAGATATATGCTTTTTTCTTCGGGATAGAATAAACGAGAGGTCTTACTGTTGACTGACTTTTTCACCTGTTTATAAACTTTAGTGGATAACCACTTGATAATGTGTCAGTGAGGAGCTTTTCATCTTCTCCAACCGTATTATTGGTGCATATTCTTTAAATCCTATTTAAAAGGCACTTAACCAAGCCTCGCTTGTATTGCAGTGGACAGAAACTATGGAAATTTAAATATTGCCCCCTTTATTACCTTGATTGCTTGAACTTTCATTTAACTGACCTTTATTAATCTTCTTATAAAATGCCCTGACAAGTATATGTGTGACCAGATTGTTCGAAATATATAATACAAAGACATCACTTTTTCGGATTAACTCCGTCTTCTCATCGCTCTATAGAAAAAAAACATATCTTTATCTAAATAAACTTTTTAAAGGTAATCACATAGCAAAGAAAACTAAAAACAGAAGACGTTTTGAGTAGCATATTTTCAGCTGTTAAACTCCTTCTGATACAATGTAAAGTAGATAAACATCTATCACATATCACTTTTGGCTGCACAAGGCAATTTACGTGCAAAAGTAAGTGTGTAGGAAGAGCAGAAAGACAGTCTCAAAGAACTTGAACAGTAAAGAACATAAGTCTTTGCTGTTACACAACGGATACAAATTAGACACCATAAACTTAAAACAACTAATAAACAGACCAGGTTCGATTTGTGGGGGTTATAGCTATCAGGATTAAAATTGATCTTTGTATTGAAGAGTCAGTGACTAACTTTCAACTAGCTTGATAATTGAAAAGAATAATTGTAAATAATTGATTTTTTCATGATCTACAATAAGATCAGTTCAACTTACAGATGTTTCTCTTTTATTTTTGTGATTTTCTACCACATTAATTAATAAAATCATATTTTCCAGTATTCTAGAGATATCAATTTAATTAGTTTGCGAAAACTCATAAAATATCAACTTTGACCTTATTACTGGCAATTTACTCTTTATTGACGGGTAATTCATTTATTGGAACAAAATTCCATATGTAAATTTATAACTTGAACTAATCAAACCTATTAATTTGTATTTGTAACTGAAGAGAAAACGAATGAATTTATTGTACTTTGAAAAATTGTCATTCTTATGTTTATTTAAATTGATGGAAATGTTGGTTTAAGATAGGTCATTTAAAATATGACTTGTTTCAAACATTTAACCTAATGTTAACTACAAAAATGTTCACTTACGTGTTTGTCTACGACAATTTTCTATCATGAATTTTGTACAAAATGCAATCGACTCAATAAAAATACGTGCAACAAGTAGTTTGTCAGAAGACTTTGAATAATCCAATCCGATTACAAATCCATCTGGTCCGTAAAATGAAGTTTTGTTTAATTTTAATGGTCCGTCTATTAACATGTTTTGATGATTTTTAAGTGTATTCCTTAGTAATGGGATATAGAAGATATTTTCACGAGTAGCTTTTTCATCCAAACCTACAAAAATATTTTAGCAAGAGAAACATAGCTATTTATGAATCAGAACATTTACTAGAGATATATATCAGTTAGTTATTCACGATTTAACTAATACTACATTTCGGTTCTACGTGCAAATCGTATTTATTAATTTAAGAAATATTACAAGGATGAAAATGAGTTTAGTAAACCATAGAAGAAACAGAATTTGTCACACAAGAGAATCAAAAACTTATATGACTCTTGATTATTGATATTACCGTTTAGAGAGAAGACAAAATATATGAAACATTTTCACTACTGAATGTTATATCCAGACGAGAATAAATGAGTGGTAACCGTTAGGAATTACTTATCGACTAATATTATACGTATATTCTTATCGTATGACTATTAAGTGACTATATGATATGTATATTCATATTCCGTTCATTATAAGATTTTACTTGACCTATTTGTTACTGTTCTCGGGTTATTCTCAATCTATTAGTCACGGTTTCTCACAATCAAAGTCACTTTTGGTTTGATCTTCTAAAAATGTTATTTTCTATTTTATGATGTGATGTGGTTTGATCTCTTTGTATAAAAACCCAGTCTGTTTGAGATATGATTCATATGGTGGAGGCGTTCTAGACTTAACAGGCAGGGATAGGCAGAAAAAGGACCAATCGGGATTCTGGGTTTCTCATACTGGTGTATGCATCATTAGTTGGGTCGAATAAGTCAGTGTATCTAAATTGACAACCGTATTTCGCGATAATCGTATAAACTAAGGTTAGTATTATCATTATTTGAACACAAATATTGATACTAAGGGGCACCGAATACATATGCGCCACACAAATCTCATTTGGTTTGTGTGTGGGCCGTGAAACTATCCAGGTGCCCAGACCGAAGGTGGTTTTCTTAGTAGGCCACACTGGGAGCCTTTGATCTGAAGGTCTGATCCACAGGGCAATGGAGCAACGTAAGGAAATGCAGTCACATGGTAGCCGGTGACCAACAATAGGTTTATACACCATTTGTCCCTTCAGGATCCTCGAGTACATGTGCACCATTGGTTTGGAATCAAGATTTTCCAACTCCTCTAGGTCGACCCTCCGTGTCCGACAAGCTAGACATTCGCTTTTTGTCTTCTAGATTTCGTAAACAAGACCCCCGCCACGAGAAGGCAGTGAGTAGGACTTCCTTAGCAGTGGCTGTATACGCGTGGACATGTGAGAGCATTTCGAGAGAAGGAGGACTCTCCCCACCCTTGGACGTACCAGGGCACTTGGAGGAACATAACACTGAACTTGAACTCGAGTAAAAAATTAAGTCTTGGAGTAATTATCGACAGATTCCTAGCTCACTTAACATTATCAAGGCTTAGAAGAGTCACTTATGATGAATGTAACGAAATTGCAGATTTTTTTACTAGTATAACAGATGTCGGGGTAGAAAAGCCTTGGTTCAGCCGTGTTATGACGTAAAGAGGCTTTAAAAATGTAGCAAACCAGCTGAACATATTATTTTAAAAACTCAAATACAGACGTCTATCCAGAGACACGAAATAGAACTGGTAGATATTCGCTAAGATATGTAAATCTTACCAAGTTGATCACCACTATAAAGCATTTCTTCCAACTCAGAATATGTACAGAAAATATCTGAAAAACAAAATAAAAATTTAACGAAGACTACTCATAGCTAATAAGCATTTCTTTTTACTGATACATACTGAAGTAAAAGTCAAACGACAATCACAATAAGAACATAAAAGAATTTTATTAAAAATGTGATGTTCGCAGAATTAAGATATCTTAGTACTTATCGCATTTGCAAAGTAGAATAGAACTAGGTCCATTTATAATATTTAGACGCATATTCTTCTGAGTTACAAGCATAAAAATACAAGGGTTCAATAGTACATAGAAGCTTGAGTGTTTCTTATAATAACTACGTATATTCAAAGCTAATTTTCAGATAACGAACAGATAATTTGTGTCAATCAAAAGTATTTCGCAACAGAACTAAAGAAACTTGTTAAAGTTAATTGCTTTTCCGCGGTAGATTATCGTTTCTTTTAAAATTGTAAAGATATCGACGCACGCGAATTAATTATTTATGCTTAATATTTTTTAATATTTCTGACAAACATAAATAGTTCTATAAAAACTTTATTATTTATTTATTTGAACACATAAATATTGGTACAGGGGGGCACCAAATATATATGCGCCACACAAAACAATGATAATTTGAAGAGAAGGAGAAAAAAAATGTATATAAAAAAAGTAATGAACGTGGGGAATTATAAAAAAAGAGAACAATGATGGGGAAAACGAAAAGGTACAATCAGAAGAGATCTTTCAGTTAAGGAAGATACAACCACTTTTTATGAAGAAAGTAAAAGAAGGTTACAGCAGGATCGTCACTGGCTTCTATTCTGAGCCATATCTGATAACGTCTCTAGCCACTGCGTTACACCGTCTCTCGGACCCCAACCAGGGAGTCGTGAAGGACCAACAGAAGCTAGTCCTCTGCAGCTTTCTTTCATACCACGATACCATGTCATATACTGACCACCTCTCCGCTTTTCCCAACCAGTCTCAGAGTCGGCAAATAATGCACGACGAGGAATTCTCTGGGACGACATTCGTAGAACATGTCCAAGCCACCGAAGTCGGTGTTTCAAGATGGTGACACCTATTTCATTATCGTCTCTGTGACCGAACACACGATGCCGGACCTCTGCATTACTGAAATGGTGTTGCCACTGGATGCCAGCAATCCTTCGGAGACAACGATGATCGAACACAGAGAGTCGTCTAACATCCTCAACTCGGAGAGGCCAGGTTTCACAAGCATAGAGCAAAACTGCTCTCACCGTCGCGTTGTAGATCCGACCTTTTACAGCCAGACTAACATCACGAAGGCGCCAAAGGTGGCCCAGATTGGCATAAGCCGCTCTGGCTTTCACTATACGAGCATTGATCTCATCACTCACACCACCACCAGCACTTATGCAGCTACCTAGATACACGAACTTCTCGACCACTTCTATCTGCTCACCGTCCAGAGTGAGTACAGGATTAGAATCCTGCCAGTCTTGTAGGAGTACTTTGCACTTCGAAGGTGCGAAGCACATACCATACCTACGGACATTGATTGCCAACTGATTAAGTGCGGATTGCATGGCTTGGGCATTCTCGCACAGTAAGACAATATCATCCGCATACTCAAGGTCGAGAAGTCTTTCTCCAGGCAACAGATCCACACCACCATTACTTACATCCGCCAGAGCTGTTTCCAGAATGTCATCGATGGCAAAGTTGAAGAGGAATGGTGAGATTGGGCAACCCTGCCTAACCCCACTGCTTGAATGGAATAATGAAGAAAGGTGGTTGTATGCCCTCACTCTGCCTGAGGTGTTTGTGTATAGGGCTTTTAGGATGTTAATAAACTTCTCAGGCACACCCTTCTTCAATAGACAATCCCAGAGAACAGTCCTATCCAAAGAATCGAAGACAACCTAATATCAAGAAAAACTACGATTGTTGGCCTTTGATAAGTATGGCGGTGTTCTAACACATGGCGGAGGGTGAAGATATGATCAATACATCCTCGACCAGAACGAAACCCAGCCTGCTCCTCGCGAGTCAATCCTTCTCGGGTTCTGAACAACCTACGAAGTATGACGGAAGCCAAAAGCTTGGACGCAATCGGAAGTAGACTTATGCCCCGATAGTTGTTACAGGAACAACGTGAACCCTTTTTAAAGATAGGGACAACTATCGACTCATTCCATGACGTTGGTACACTCTCTAGTAACCAGATCTTTGTAAACAAAGTCGTCAGTCCCTTAGTCAGAAAGTCACCACCATCTTTAAAAAGAGCCGGAGGTAGGTCGTCTGGGCCCGGTGATTTGTAACGTTTCAAGAGTTGGAGTTCCTTGCGGACTTCCGCCTCATTTGGTGGATCATTTTTCACCGGCCATGGAGGGCAGGACAGTCTGACCGATGTTGCCGGAGCAGCAGGCCAGTTGAACTGCCCTTCAAAGAATTCTGCCCATCGTCCAAGACGTCGATGGATGTTAGTGATTGGCGTTCCGTCATCCTCGCAGATTGTTTCGCTCACACCAGACTTCTTGCTGCCAGTGGCTCGGATGAGTTGGAAGAGCATCCGGTAATTACCAGATGCAGCTGCTGCTTCCAACTCACTGGCACGCTCCGACCACCAGGCTTCTCGGTCCTTACGCAAGCTTTGCCCGATTTCATTACGTAACATCCTTCGTCTGTGGTCAAACTCACGGTCACCCGGAGTAGACCGACGGGCTTCAATCAGTTGTAAGGAACCAGAAGAAACCCAGTGCTTGTAAGCGGGACGTTTCGCGAACCCACAACGGACTGTACCCGCCATTTTCATGGCGTCATGCCATTGCAACCAATGCTCATCTATACTTTTCGGTGGAATGGTAGCTAGCCTAGAAGCTAGCTCGGTTCGGTACTTACTAGCAACAGAAGTTGCAGCCAGCTTGCTAACATCGATCCTTTGGTGGCGGTCACTTCGTTGTCCACTGAAATGTAAGGTAAGATTGGCGCAGACCAGAGCATGGTCAGATTCCAGATAGGTACTCCAAAAGGAGCGGCAGTCTTGTACACAACCACGCCAGCGGTAGCTGATCGCGATAGGAACTTTATTACTGTCTACAAAATCTTTATTAGCGAATTCGCTGAAGAGTTATACAGATAAAATTATAGGAGAAACATTATTGTCATCGTGTCGATATGAAGAAGTCGCGTAAATGTCGTTATTACTTTTACCACCCTTTAATACTAACTTGCTCAAAATTTGGTGAATCATCAGTAAAATGATTTAAGAGTTTATCATAAACAAAACAAAGTGAAACAAAAAAATGACTGGTTCACATGTTATGTAAAATCTATATACAAAAAATGAGCACTTGATGAGTTTAACACTATCATTTTCAATATATGATAACAAAAAGAATTTTTCATAACAATTGTAAGCATTCTGGCCACTATATAAAAGTATTTCCATCATGAATTTTGTAATGGATGATAAAAGTCATTAGTTTCTTGACCTTAGGCAAAAACCCGTAAGTAGATTTTTAGATTCCGGTTGGCTTATGCCTCTATATTATACTCCTAACCAAAAATGACAGTGAATTTCAGAAGCAACTAAAATAACGGTAAATATAATAGTGCAAAACTAAAGCAAAGTAATGAATTGTAGCAATTGATACACAAACTTCAGGACCAAAGCCCACATACATTATGGTGAACATGACCGTCAGAATTTGATGTAATTACGAAACGAGCTGTAATCTGACAGAATGTGTGCGCGTACGTCACAGAATCGCCCACCCTAATTCTTATGACTGAATTATGTGGAATTATTAACGCATAAAATTTTCAGTGTCTAACTACTTGTCTAGTGTCGGGAATAAAGACAGAAAACATCCGTTGAGATTTAAACAAGAAATCGATTCAGTGGAATCTACCTTCTTGATAAATATTTAAAATCATAACAACTAAACTTTTAGTTTCTCAACAAGAATAACATTTTTTGTGCTCTTTTCTACCTTTTTGTAATGTTCAGCATTATTATCATTATTAGTAACAGGCATATGATTGATTATCATTTTGGGAAAAAAGTATATATTTGCGATTGTGCCATTGTGAGAATGAATAAGCCGAAAAGAGAAGACTTTGCTGAATGTTTTTTTTAGTTGAGCACATATAGTATTTTATGTATTTTTTTAAATGCAATGTCAATAATTTAATGTCACAGTAATCTGTAGAAACGGTAAAACCTAAGCAAAACTGATCAAGTATGCAAAGAATACTTTGTAAAAAATCCCAGAGACCAAATAATGAATTCGCTTATTTTTAGCAGTGTATATAAAAGTATTGAATGGACACAAAATCTTAGAAAAGCAGCAATGGTGTGTGCAAACAAAATGAGATAGTTCAGTCAGTCATCTACAACATATGATCAGGCATATAAAAGCATCAGCCGAAGTCGCCATACCTCATTAGCACAACAAGAACACTCCCTACGATAGTCACGCGGACACCAACCAAGTAGTCTGCATCCACCAACATGGCTCAGACAAGAAGTTTGTGACATCAAGGACCGATGCCACGTTTTGGTTTGGCCAGCCCTAACTTTCTCCCAACCATCTCCAACACTAGTCACCATTGCACGTCATGGTAACCGGTAATTGGGCGTGCATAATACGTGCCCCAACCATCTCAGTCGATGTAGATTCACAACCTTATCAACTAATTTATTATCATTCCTTAATACCCTGTGTTTAACCTCACCATTACCCACCCGATGATCCCAGTAGATGCGAGCAATATTTCCAAGACATCTGTTATCAAATACTATTAACTTACAAGTATTTTCTACTCTTAATGGCCACGTTTCGTAGCCGTGAATTAGAACAGAACAAACTGATAGATGAATATCTCTCCTTCACCATAGGTGACGTAAAGTGGCAAAAGCCAAACTAGCCTTTCGAACGCTTGCAGAGATTTCGTCGGACACCAAACCCGTTAGGGCTGACCAGACTTCGAAGATAAGTGATATTGTCGACGCGTTCGACTACTTCACTCCATATCATTAGTTCAGGCGTTGACACAGGCCAGTTCTGAAGCAAAAACGTGCATTTTGAGAGGGAAAAACACATCTCAAACATCCCGGCATTGTTGCTTAGTGCTACCGAAAAACTAAATTTCATCAGCGTCTTCACCAAACAGGACTATGCCATCTGCGTATTCTAAGTCAGTAGGTGGACCTCCTGGAAGGAGATCAATGTACGAAAATTCAGTCGACGAGCAAGTTTAACAAAAATGGAGATATTGGACAGCTAGACCATCAATGAAAACCTGGGAGTACTGGACGACCATTTCGTCCCAGTATGGAACCCTCCAGAAGTGCGCATCCACAATCCCCTGCGTGAGACTCGAACCCTGGATCTCCGGTATCGCGCGCGAACGCTTAATCTCCAGACCACTTAGTCGGCATCCAACAATGTTAATGTCTAACTTTAATAATTTATGATCTTGCGCAACCCTTCGTACATTACCTGAGATGGATAATTGTTTCACACCCGACACGGATCGGAATCCACTGGTCACAGTTTCTCATTAGAACTCAAAGAGTTACATTTTGAAGCTAGTCATGATTAACAACCAAACTCATATTACGCTGTCAAATTAACCTCAAACACTGAATAACAGGGTAAATAAACATTGAACAATATATTTTATGATTCTGTTGATAATAATGCAATGAGGAAACAGGACAGTATTTGTCAAGCATAGTTATGAGAATCAGTCAGTAATATTGCGACTTTTAAAACCGGATGTCAGTTCCCACGTACTGCTCCCATTCTTTGGCAATCGACTACGGGTGACTTTTCAGGAAGAGGAGCATTTTCCAGTATTTCCTTAATCGAAACAGTATTACTAACCTAGTAACTAGTGTTTATAAAAAACTGTGAGGTGGAATTCAATTTTGTAAACGGCTAAGTACCAACAACGAACTACTATATTTATGGTCTGGGACACCGAATCAGATAGATAGTAAAGATCGTTCAGCAAAACAAAATTCTTTACAGTAGATATCAGCTCCGCCTGGAGCCCCTTATAAGATTACTGTCAATCTCGAAGCCGGGTAATAGAGAGTTGAGTGATAGATTAGCAACCCGACTACAAAAACGCGAACCAGGAAAGGCCAGTTACACTATGTAGACTCTACCCTGGGAGTAAAATGGGGAACCACGGCAACAACCAATATCAGTACATGGAATATCCGAACAATATGGGGGACCGTGAAGCTCCTTTAGACAACAGCAAAAATGGAGAGATGAAATCTGATTCCACTAGAAAGAAGAGAAACACATTGGAAACAATCAGGAGTTGCACTGACCTCGACTAAGGAAACACAAAAATCCCCTAAGTTGGAAAATTTATAGGCCTCGGATTATCGAGGCACCCGACAAGCGGAAATATGTGGAAGACCTGACAACCACAGCAAAATAAGCTACAAGAGAAGGAAAAATGAGAGAATTGTATGATGCAATCAAGTTAAGAGGGAAAGACAGTAAACCAGAACGACTAGTTATGAACAAAAAAAGAAAACCAATAATTGTCGAGTAAGCGCAGTTGAACAGCTGGATAGAGTACTTTGAAGAGCTCTTGAATAGAACATCCCCACTGAACCCATCGGACATAGACCTTCATATAAATAATACCCCACCAACAATAAAAATTAGCAAGACTATGTAACTAATAATGTCTTTTAGTCCTGATCTATGGTTCTTACTATTTTTTTCATCAAATATCAGACGTTTGCACAACCTACTTTTACCGCTCGAAATTGCCGAACACTTTATTACGCAACCACACTCTATTTTTTAATGGACTTCTGTATGTCAAATAATTATGAGATTGTAAAGGTTCAACAAATGATGTGGTTGAAAAGAGAAGTGTATTGCTTGATTATATTCTATTTTATTATAGATAGGTGAGGGGCAATTTCGTCTTGATAAATGAACTTAATTTTCCTATGAATTCATGACGGTGAAAGTATTAGTTAAGTAAGCTGATTAAATTTATTAAGAAAACGAGTTATGTTAGAAAAAAACACGTCAACAGTAACTACAAATATGAGAAAATTAATTGTTCACATGATTCAAACACAGATAGATGAAAGATGAAGCTTGAAAAAAATGTATCACATGAACAGACATTTTTAAAGCTACATATCCATGAGTCAAGAAGAAATACCTGTTTAAAGAGAATTTACCACAAGCTAGCAACGGTTGAAAAGCAGTCGGTCATAATCAACACTGACAACTTTGAATTAATCAAAATTCCCATACCACATCAGCAGAGCGAAATGAAATTAACAAGAAGAATATCAAGAGTCTAAATAACAATAGTATCAACCGAAATTGGGAGTATTAATCACTGAGCAATGCTATTCGAAAACGAGGGATGAATTTGTGGATAAAAAGTACAAAATAATATCAAAGTACAAGACTTAAGGGAAGATAAGGAGCGCATCTTCAGAACTGTGAACAGTTCCAGACCATTTCACCCGACATCTCCAACCACTGATTGTAATTACTGCCACTGAGTGAAACAGTAGAGATTACAGAACGCTGAAGTTAACTGTCTTCCTTCAAGAATTTTTAGGTATTACATTGTGCATGCAGACCGCGTGAAAACCCATTATTATAAAAACCAATAGTTATGAAACCTTAGTTGATTATTTTTCGTCACAAATAAATATATGTACTGAAAAATGATTAGAAAAATCACTCACTTTCTGACTGCAACCAATCAATAAGTGTACCAGCATGTGGATAGAAACCTTCAACTAAATAAGTAAGATTATCTAGATGAACAGATCTAGATGTAGATGGTACAGATGGAGATTCCGAAGAACTGCTAGTAGAACCCATGTCAAAAGTCGGAATACGATCAAAATATGCCTGACCAGATGCCCATCCAATAACAGGATAAAAGCCTACAGAATAGATAGGTATAATACAACTTCATATTGTTCGGCCAACAATACTAGACTTTAGCTGTCAGTTAAATACAATAATCTTGCAGTGAAATGTAGTGCTACTGAAGTCATATAACCGGGTCAGCAAATAAACCGACCAACATGCTCACCTTAAATTAAAATTCTGTAGGAGATTAGTTTACAAAGTTGGGTCCCACCACCGTAAAGAGCTAGAGATGGATAAACTAAAGATTGATTCAGATAAAGCCTGATATACGTAGTGAACAAATCCTAGACATTTCCTAGAAGGCTGATGAAATTTACACACGGCTTCTTGGATGAGTTGGCACTTAAAATACTGTATACTCCATTTATATGATACAAATTAATGATGGAAGCATTTTAGACGCCTAATAGCTGAATTAAGTAAGGAGAACTCATGTATATCTCATAAACTATATCACAGAAGTAACCAAATGTCTAATGGAACCACCAAATTACGCTTGCAACTGTTAGGTTTCCAACAGTTTGATGGTCAAAGCACTAGACTTTTCACAGTAAATTTGGATACTCCTCCGTCTACTATGAGCAACGGGATAATTTCCAAAGCCATTACATCATGAGTATGATTTAATGTTGAATATACAAAGCAGTACCGGAAAACTGAATTAACTTCAGGTGACTGGAGCACGTTCCAGTACACTACCTGTCTCGTAAGGTTGAGTGCCAGGTACAAAAATAAATTAAGATGAACTAAAGCACGACACTAACCATAAATTAATAATCTAGTTGGGCTTGCAAATGTAAATCGTTTTTAATACCCAACTTGAGATGGTCACAATAAACGTCTAAAATGTTAACAGTAAAGACCTATTATATCCCAAAAACTAGTGCTCTTTATTTAAATTCCATTATATCAACTTGTCCAGTACGAAAAACTATACAAAACAAGTTTATGAATAATAATGATAGTTTATCTTGCTGAGAACAAATTAGAAAAGCCTGATAAAATCATTTAAGACATACTGTATTATGATTCGTTTGATTTGTTATCACACATTTGAAGTTATCCACTTACTTTACAGAAGTGCCTTTTTTATATTTTTCAGTATATATATATATATATATATATATATATATATACAAAACTCACTCAACCTATCAGATCAACAAAGTGAAATGGTATCTGTTAATCTTCAAGAGGTTAGTGCACAGACCAATATCTATTAGTCTCCTCTAGCCATGGTAACACAAATACATGTATGTCCTAGGTTGTTGATAGTTTAAATACTTACAGTATAACAATAATGGATAAGCAGACACAGTACTAACGTGATATTATGCGTACCATTCATTACGGCTAGAGCTTCAGAACCAGAAATTAAATTTAAAAATATCCCAGTGCCTAATGTAAGTTTAGCTTGACAAGGAGATAAACAATTTTCTGTTAAGGTGGCAGCTTGAGCATCACCAATGATACCAGTGATCGGAATAGACAAAGAAGGATTTGATGAATACCCAAGTGGACCATTTTGAACAGTACCATAATAATAACTGAAAAATAAGAACACATGTAGTTATATAATAACAAATAGGGAATGATAATTAGTTCTAAAAAATGATAGTTGTGAGTGAATTATCATTGGCAGTTTCCGAATTACCTATGAAGTTCTTTTACTAAATCCAGTCAACTATGAGAATGACACTTATTACAAACGTTTATTGGCCACCTAACCATTATTGACAGACGAAACAAACGAGCTAGACAAAATGAGTAGCTTAGTGCTATTATGACCCATCTACTCCAATTGCTTAGTATTCTTGAACCCCAATCGACTCAACAAGTCCCTATGTCAGAATACGGTTGAACAGAAACGAAACCATTGGATAAGAAATAGTCGATCGGAGTCCACTAACACAATCCTGCACGGAACGTGCTTTAATTCAATCTATATTCCGCTAAAACTTGGAGATGACTAATTTTATACAGCTGGATAGACAAGACAATAAAACAACGATTATAAGCATACAAAACTATTTGAATAATTTTTAGAGATGAAAATCTTCATATAACATTATTTTTCAAAACCAGTTCAAATTTAATTTTTTAGACATATTGTTAAACAAATGTAGTAGTGATTTGATGGCTAAAGTACTAAACCCATACCAATGAACTGAATATGCTTCCGGATCTCGAAGGGATGAATGGCGGATGGAACTATTTGGTCACCGCTTACTAAAGAATTGCATCTCCTGAAGTTGATGTATTGTCGTGTGGATCAAACCTTCAGGTCAAAGCCCCAGGGAGTTTTCGTTTACAAAAACCAACTATTTCGGTCTGGTCTAGTCCATAAAAAATATGCTGAATTATAAAGAAAATGTGGCAAAACCATGTTAATAGCAATGAGTGTATTCGCTCTCAATGACGATAATTCGGTTATTGAGAAAATCTTGAAACACCCACTTCAGCGGCTTGCAAAGAAAAACTAGCAAAATTATTCCTCCAAGTCTTAAACTTTTTAGCCCCCTTAAGTTTTTGTGAAATATGAATATATGTGACGAAATTAGTTTAAAGAACTGTTAGTGAATAAAGGTGATAGGATACAAAAATCTTGTTGGACGATGATGATTCAAATGGCCTTGCTTCGGCTTCATAAATAAAAATGGTGGTTTTCATTGCTATGCTACAGAAAACAAACCAGTGCATTGAATGTAAGTGAGGATGCCCAATGCCGCTTAAACAATGGTGATGGCAAATTCTTGATCGAATTAATTAATAAAAAAGTCAAAACTAAAAAAGTAACCTACGTAAAAGTAAAGAAACTGGAAAAACCATTCTGACAACAATCTTCTGCAAACCAACAGTATTCAATTTGAAAAATATAATACTCTGATTAACTACTATTTTGAGATTAGTGATATAAATCCCAAAATATTAAGAGATTGTATGTGAAGCTTGGGGTAGAAAATGATTGAGAAAAGAGAGAATTTCAGCTGTTCGGTTACTATGTAGATCGAGTCACATGGAGGTAGTGTCGTACATATATGTGAAATTCTGCTGCGTCATTAGCTGACTACATTGTTTTTTTACATAAAATTAACTGATGAGATTTCAACGAGTATTTTTCTAAAAACCATAGCTGAATACTACACTCACCTGGAAGGATATACACCAGGAAGAATATTGGCAGGTATTCCTAAACCAGCCAAAATCGGACGGCTCCATTTACGCTAAAAAAAGCACAGTATACAAAGGAATCAATATGACATAACACTAAGTACTTGAGTAAGTAAATGAACTGAGATTACCTCTATGTTTTGACTGCAATAAAATAAAGTGATAACTCAGAAAAGAGAAGCTCGTGTTAGATAGTAGTGTAGTGAAAAACAACTTAGATGGAGAAGACCAATTTATTGTTTAATGCAAAATTACAGTGTCTTCGTAAAATATGAAAACCATACACTAAATACATCACTTACCTCTTACAAACTTTATCGTTCCTTCATTCCAACTGTTATTACAATTACTCTCTGTTTGCATTCCTATTCTCTCCAACTTAATATTCTTAACCTTCTGCTGCCAGACATTCTACCTCTGATCGGTGTCACCTACTATTCATGTCTGTCAACATAAGTAGTCTACACCACAGCAGCACCATTTCTTGTATAAAATGGTGAGGGATATCATCATTCAGTGACCTGAAAAAAACTAAATTTAGCCATTTGAGGGGATGTTATAGTATGACTTCAGCTGAAGTACGTTGAGGTGTATGAAATTACTTTATATACAGCAAGTGGCAAACTAGCGCATTACTTAATGTACAAAAACTAAGTCACAATAATTCATGACTTTATTGTCTTTAGCTGTTGGAAATCTGCCACCGATGTAACCCATTTACAAAGCAAAATCTTTATAGCTCAACGTTGAGCATCTTGGTTATTGGTTGACAATCAAACATTATAAATGCCCTCAATCAAATGGAATTGTTTAGAGCCTAGAGGACCAACCTTACAAAATTAGCTTAAATCTTTAGATTTCTTACTTTAGAAGTCGTTGAATTGTGGCAATTTCCTTTGTTTACTAATCGACTAGTAAATACACACCTCAACGGTCATGATTTCATTACACAGTTGACCTAATTATTTTTCTAAATGTATCTACGATGTGTCTCTAAATGACTGAAGAATTGTTACAGTGTTTTTCATTGATATGACAAATTCTAGTGCACCAAAGTCAAAAATAAGACTCCCAACTACAATACATGACTGAAAATACATCGTAACTTACAGAAAAGGAATCATACATGCCAGTAACACTTGCACAACTAACATCCGTAGCAAATGTTTTACCACCTGTAAGCCGCCATAGCAACCATGTCTCTAAACAACCATAGCAAAGTAACCCCTTACGACACTCATCAATAAGCTATAGAGAAATGAAAGGATATAAAATGAATTAGCATATATACAACATACCCTTCCATTTATAACAAAAATTGGATGTACTAGTAGTAATCAGAATATTTTTGGTATAATTTTGGGGGAACTTGAACTAAAATGGATACCTGATTTAAAACTTGATCGTTCGTTCTCTAATTTAACACCTGCAACTTTAATACCAGCTTTTGAGGCAGTAAGAGTAACACAAAACATTGACTCATAAACTCATTGATTTATTTGACTTGCATAAGAAATATTAAAATTACGAAATAGATGTGACTTAGTCATTAAGGTGTTTGGCTTTTAGTCACCAGGTATTGGGTTCAAACTGCACTCCACCTACTTCAATTTGGGCTACTAGGCAGTATCACCGGCGTATGACATACCCAAGTACATGGTGAACGGATCAAATTTACTTTTTAATGGATATTTTTGGGGCTCCCAAAGCGCTGGACATTACGGTCTGCAAACTTCACTAAGATTTATTACAACAAAATAGGACAATTACTTTTCATATTGCTTTGAACCATAACCACCCGATTACATTGTATCTATTTGTTTTTATTTACTTATGTTCATTAGGGTATTTTAATACACTTTTTTTATTCTTTTTGGGTGTCCGAAAAAGTTGATTTCACGTTATGTAGGGTTTAAATCCAACTACCTTACTCGTTATTTCAATACTTCTAAGCAAGGAACCAGTTAACTATTTACAATACAATCTAAAGTTTGCAAATGCAGCATTGACAAAAATTGAAAGATATATATAAAAATACAATAATCAGAACGAATAGACAGGTAATAAATAATGTATTATCAAATAGTCACAAAGATGGATGATAGATATAGGAGCTGTATTATGAAGTGGATTCTAGGTAGTTAGTAACCATTTAATATTTGTATAGACGGTAAACAGGAGTAATAAGATTCACATATGAAGGATATTTACACCTACCAAATTTTTGGTAAAACAGGCTAATAAAAAATACTAAAATGAGCAAGCTAAGGTACTTAACCAATTACTAATTCAATACTGATGAATTATAATCTAAGTATATGTGATGTGCGGGCTACGAATATTCACTTTCATGCAACAAAATAGGTGACATATATTTCAATTTGCTATTCGCCAATCATAAACCAAGTCATTAACTTCTAGATCACAAGCCTATAAGAACAAAAGAAAGTAGGTTCATTCTCACTAGATACTGACCGCATTAGTGGCCAAGATGGTTTAAAACCAGAATCAATAGGAATTCAAGACGCGCTAAAAGCACTTTTATTTTACATATCTAACTTTATGAGGTATACAGAGTAGTTGGAACTTCAGAGATATGAGTCGACATCAACCACGTACGAAACTGCAACAATGTACATTAACAGCTGATACATTTTTCCAATTGGTCTGTTGACGTTTGACATCCATACTGATTAAACTGTTTCTGTAGTATTAGTGGTAGTCATTTTCACTACCATGTAAACAGTACTAGTCCAGACGATTTATTTCTGCTCATCTCCGGAAGCATTATCTGACTGGCAACTATCGCTTTTGCAGCCTCTTATAATAATTATAATTTTCTACCGCGGCTAACTGAAAATAGTGAGTGGTGAGTTCACAGACTTGTGGTGTGAGTCGCAGTTAGTCTTACATTGAAATCTATTGGTGAAACCAGACACTAAAAACGAAGTCACCAGATCGCCAAGTAAATGGTTTGAAAACTGTAGTACACAACGGAGGATCAAGACTAAAATGATATCAGTTAGAATTTCGTTGTTTAACTTTCCATGCATGGAAAATTTGCTACGGTCTATACTAATGTGGCTGTTTTTGCGCTCAGATAACCCCTACTGCCTTACTCTTTCTCCCTATAATCGTATATCATAGAACTGTTTGGAGCACATTGTTTGATGCTGATGGTACGTCAAGATTTTGTCTAAATAAGTACTTAGTGGTAATAATACTACGATACATTTCTTTGAGACCTGAATTCTTTGTCGTCTATTCTTGAATAGTATTTCCACAAATTTCCTGACGTTGCTAGATTGTTGTATGGACCAGACCTTCAGGTCAAAGGCTCGAGGAGTTGTCATTTACAAAAATCAACTGCCTTGGTCTGGGTATTCAGCTAGTACCCGAGACCATACACAAATGTACTGAGTAGTTATACAGAAAATGTTATGTTTTCTTTGCCTCATTATCTATACGAACGATATTTTCAGCCTAACAATACACTTCGGACACACAAAAAAACAAAATGAGAAACCAGAGTAGTACGCAGACCACTTGTTGCTGCAAGGCGTTCTATCAACCGATATGGACTAAATACAAGGGAATGATATTGTTGTGCATTTTCCAAATATTATTTAATCCCTAACCGCAGCTTAGATGATAATGAATGATTTCTCAGACGTTAAATATACGTCATGTAATTAATACAGAGATCCGAACCTTAGTTTATGTATAACACTAAGGTAGCAGAAAAAAAATTTACACCACTTTTTCATCTTATGTGGCTTTTAGTTAAATGGCCGTATTTCTAATATACTCTATGAGTAGAGACACAAAACTAGAAGTTTTCCGAACGGTAGCATTTGACATGTACTACAAGTTGCAAATTTACTGATTCTGACAAATATTAGATTCACCTTAATCCGATCACGATTCCCGCGAAGTTAATCTGGGACGTTAGTAATGATATCCTCCACTCACTCATGATTTTACGATCAGGAATCAGAAAGAAGTTTGAATGATGACCCCGAATTTTAACAAGTTTCATAGTGTAAAATATCAGACAGGTCACCGAAAGTCTATGGATCAAAAAGATCTTTAGCGAAGATAGTATTAATTATATCAGTATGTTGTGTCAAAAATGGATCTTATCATTGATATAACGAATGTAGTAACACATTTTCACAATACAAAAGCATCAGAAATAGGATTTTAGCAATTTAAGAACCGACCACAAGAGCTAGTGAATATACCTTTGGTTTTTCGTTCAATAAATATTTGAGACGTATACATGCTAATACTGTCTTGAAGTGGTACGACGCCAACGCTTTAAACCTTGATTGATGTGTTATCCAATATAACATATGGCCAGCAGTTTTCATACTCTACAAAACGATGGAATCAGCAAGAAATAAGTGAATGATATGAAAAATGTAGTAAAAGCATCTGAAAATTATCCCGTCCACATTATTTTGTTGGATAGTATATTGATGCAGTTAGTTTATCAACCTCTAAGGTGTCGATATAGTTAGTTTTGTTATGACAGTAAATTCATCATACTCAACATAGCAGAACCAAAATCTGTTGAAATTATTGAGTGATCTATGTCCTAATTATTCGACAGCTTGATTTATTCGTCCAACTGACTCAATACTACTAAGAACCAATTGGCTCACTTAAGCCTAAACTTGATTAGGACACCATTTATCTAATGATTCCAAGAAACATTCACAATGATCCGAAGGCCTTACAGATTAGACATTAAAATTTCAGATATTGATAGCATTATTTACTTTATTCAGGGCACTGAGACAGAGTGCAATACTATAGAAAAACCTGTGATCCCGGAATTGCTGAAATGAATGTGTTAATCACCTCATCTAACTGAAATCATTCAGGCCAAGTACGTCAACAATACAACTCAATGACGCTAGTAAATATCAGGTTTACCTAAAACATTTTTGTATGTGGCACTCATCTTTCTTAGAGTACAGATTAACAAGCATGTGAGGATCTGCCCATTAAGAGTAGAGAAATGATATATGAGAAAGAAACCAAGCATCTAAAATTACAACTACACAGTTCAAAAAAAGTTAAACACACTTTGATATGGGTTTCTAACAGTGACAACAATAAAGTGATTTACAGTTGTTTCCTCATAGTAATATGCAGAAGGTTTCACTCGTTAGTAATGAGTATAAAGCACTTACATAATAAGAAATATTACCGTTATGGGTGTGAAGTCCCCAAATACAACTTGTGGGGAAGGAATTGCTATTATATTATGCTATTCAGTGTGAACTCAGTATATGGATATACAATACATTTTCACCATGATTTGTATTTAGTGACAAATAATTTCATAAATTCTTTTTCAATTGTTTTGGGGACATCATCAACAAAGCTCCTACTATAAATCTGGCTCATTTTTACTCAAGTTAGCGGGACAGGGAAGACGATAGTAGTCTCGTTTATCGTACTGAGGTCGGAGATGTGAAATATAAGTATAGCACATAAACGTATTAATTGCTCAATCTATTTTTTGTTAATTTACTTATAGAGTTGAAGGGGCTGGTTTGACAGCCAAGAGGACTGGTTTTCAATTATTAGGTCACAAATCGAAACGCAGCACCACTTCAGTCTGAGTGATCAAGTTTTCTCTAGTTTTTATACAGTAGTTCAAAAGTGCACAGATTTGTACTTGATATGAATTTCTTGGTACGTAAGACATGTTAAAAACACAGCAACGTAATATTACTTTCAGACGTAAATGTGAAGTACCTGTACAATCAAATTAAATTCTGAAAGTTATGAATAATCTACAACACTCTTAAGGTAAAATCAAACTTTGCTAAGTGAATGAGAATCGCTTTTTTAGAATAAGAGTGCCAAAATAACACTAGTTGTTGATTAGAAATGAGAAGTACGAACCAATCCTGACAAAATCACTTACTAGTTTTGAACAGTTAGCCATGATACAATTAATTTAGCAATATTAGGGCGAAAACTACGTTTGGACCGGTGGCTTAACAGCGAAACTAGTACACATTGCTAATGGTGACCTAAGCCACTGGCACTAACGGATAACCATAGGGAATAAACTATAACTTACACGAAAGATAAAAGAGTGATTTAACTTTTTGGCGAGATCCAAAGAACGTGTATCTTGCCATGTGATAACACGAGTTCGAGGATTTGATGTCTTCCTGTCAAACTACTCATACTTAGAAATAATATCTTACTTATCCCACAACAATAGGCTATTTCGCTGAACCGAAATGCCAATACAATTGATCCGATCAGGGTTAATTTCTGCATCTACATGATTATCCACAAAAGCGTTGGTGTTACCTTGTAATACTTCATCTAACAGCTTGCAAAAGGATTCCCATACAGCTTCTGGATCCAATTCGCAAGCACCATCAGACCCTTCAAGCCGAGGTACCTGGAAGAAAAGAATATCTGTAGCATTATTTTTCATGGTGTAACTGTCTGTTTACACTTATCTGAATCTTATTTGAAAAGACAAAATCAAGAAGTATACTATGCAGAAAGAGTAAATGCGAAGGCTACTTAAAAATTAAGCTATTCAGAATGAACTGGTTCGAACAGGTCCCGAGCTAACTCCACGTTTGATGAAAATCAAGGGGAAGAAACTAGCGATCAAAAATGCTTAAGCAGGGACTAGAAGTGCCTGAATTATTATCTAGAAATAATATATACAATCATTGGCTTGGTAAAATGTTAAATGATAATGCGAATGATATAAATGTTGGCTAATAATTAGCTTGATGGTTTTGATTAAAACTATAGATCACATCAGAGGCACCATTCAACTCAAATACGATGAAACAGTAGTATCGTAAGCGCTTACAGCAGATCCAGTTCACAGCCCAATAAGCGAATTTCTAGGACCGTGTAATATATATAAACACCATTATGTAATGTTGTACAGTTCAACAGACCTTAAGTCAGTGAGTCACTAACAAAGTAGAACTTCGTACGTACGTCCACCAGTCCAAGTTGCCATACCACATTAGCACAGAGATGCAGTTGTCGATTCTAATCCCGTAGTGGTAGAGGCTTATTTATTTTATTTATTTGTTTTAACACATAGATATCGGTACAAGAAGGCACCAAATACATATGCGCCACATAAATGTTCATTTTATTTGTGTGAGGGCTGTGATACTGCCCGGGTGCCCAAACCAAAGCAGGGGTAGAGGTAGTAAAAGTATAAGAAGTAATCGGAAAGATTGGGGTTTGAAGATGTTATTCAAGGAGTATAATCCAGTGAAATAAATTTGGAAAGAGATAGAGACAAGAAGAATTCAGGAGATACGAATTTGAGAGAACAAAAAGAGTGGACGCACCCACGCCATTGCAAACGATTTTGAGCCATGTCATTCAAGGTCTCTAACCATCGGTTGCTATCATCTCGCGGACCCCAACCACGTAGTCTACACCTACCAACATGGCTCAGTCCACTTGTCAGTGACTTCATGGGTTTGTGCCATGTAAAGGTCTGACCGCCCCTAACTTTCTTCCAACCTACTCCTACACCAGAAAACATCACACGTCGGGGCAGTCGGTGGTCGTGCTTACGTAACACATGTCCCAGCCATCTCAACTGAGGAAGTTTTACTACTTCGTCAATTGATTTTCCATCCTTACTTAGTACCCGTTTCCTAACAACTGCATTACTTACTCGGTGGTCTCAGGATATACGAGCAATGTTTCGAAGACACCTATGATCAAATACTAGTAACCTACGAATATACTCTACTCTTACCGGCCATGTTTCACTGCCTTAAATTAGGACGGAACGAACTGCTGCACAGTAAACAGGTTCTTTGGTTGATAGACAGATATCTCACCCACGCCATAAATGACGCAAGTTGACAAAAGCTAGTCGAGTCTTATGTATCCGTGCTGAGATTTCGTCACACACCAGACCACAAGGGTTGATGAGACTCCCAAGTTAAGTGAAGCGGTCAACGCGCTCAACTACTTCACTCCCTATCATTAGTTCGGGTGTCGATGCAACCCAATCCTGAAATGCAAAATGTTGCTTCAGACCTTAAGTGGTTGTTTACTTCATAAATCGAATAAACTATTTGTCCGTAAAATCTTCCAAAAACAAAAAAATGATCTCACACCATGTTTTTAGTTCGACAGATTCTTAAGATAATCCATTTATACTATCACATCGAGTAAAGCGTTACGACAAACATACTGTGGAATTACCTCAGGGCATTCGAACCTGATTCCTCTCTTCAGGACATAAATTTAAGAGATACGAATAATCAGACTACGATTGGAATCCATGATAAAATAAAGTGGCCGGGTTATCAAAAACTTCAGAAGCATTTCTTAAAACCTAAAGACAGTGATGTTTGAGAACTTACTGAGCGTATGGGATATCAACCACATCCATTTAAATGTTCTTGTAGCCGTGAAGTGATATTTGAATGTCTAAAATGATTAGCTTCTAACTATTAGGTTTTCATGTAGAACTCTGTTTCACATTCTATTTAGGAAGTCAGGTACTATACCGAATTTGTGACTCCAAGTCGAGCATGTAAACGTACACCTGGTGAGTAACTTTCAAGTTACTGGTATTAGACTTGGTGGAAACTGAGAGAGATCTCGGTTAAACTAACCCGTATGATGGAAGATTCAAATAGACGGTTTGATAATTGCAAACAAAACCACCATATTCAGCTTCATAAATTGTTAAGTATGGAAATGAAATATACGAGAAAATGTTTTGACACCAATTCCATGTGACTCACTTTAGTGCTGCTACATCCAATGACCTTAAGATCCATAGTGTAGACCCTGGCGCATGCATGAGTGCTTCCGAAATCAACACCCAATATGAATTTCGAAACCGTGTGCTGTGAATCCATTTCAACGCAATAAGTCAAAAAGCAAGAAACATAAATTTCGAAGTTATATTTGAAAAAAAAGCTTCTAAGGCATACATTTAAGTATTTTACATATCTTAATGGTCATGTCTAGGACTAGAAATGGCTATCGCTTTTGCAAGCTCCCTGACCTTGGCGTCCTGAATCTCAACTACCGTCATGAGCTCATTAACCCGACTAGTTAGCTGATCCAGTGTTTGTTGTATGCAATCATCCTTATTATGTTCTTTCCTTACTTGCCTGCGATATTCAAGCAGAAGGCAAGTGGCCCCAACCGCAAAAATGATAATTTCCCCCAGCACTTCTGATCCAAGGTCAACGGCAGCATCTTCACTCAACTTGCTAACCTCCTTTGGTAATTCCAGACCCAATAACTTTAATTTTAGTCGGGTTTCCCACAAATGATATACTATTAATAATAAACTGCTATTTTAGAGAACTTACATTGCGCTGGGGGCAGGCACACATAGTTCCTGAAAAATGTATTTGTTTTGGCCTTGCGCTTCAGGTAGTTGGCCAGGGGCTTTCCTATTTGTTTTATAGCTAATGCTCCCAATTTAAATACCGGGAAAGCCCCAACCATATGGTTTTAGTTGCAAAGTGCGCCTTTATTGGTTACTTATGAAACCTGTGAATGTACAATCCTCCAAACTTTTATTTCATTTAAGTAACCAGCACGGCGAGAATATTTCATAGTATTTAAGTGAATTATTGATTTTTTGACAGAGAGTAGTATATATTCCTTATCGATAATTCATAAACTTTAAGTATCAAACAACTATTATAATAGTTCATGGGGAGGTGTCTAGTATGATTTAAATTATTGTGGATCTAACGGAAGAAACTTTCGTTCAATGAGCTTCAGCGTCTCATAGTAGCGGACCGCTGATGTTTCGAGTAATGAACCTATATATGTGAAATTCTCAGATGTAAGTATTAGTAAATCAGTATGATGTACATTCAGCGGTAAAAAAAAGTCCCCAAAACAAATAGTTCTGTATGTTTTTAAGTTTGATGCTGGCCTCATCAGCTTCAATAGACACATCACAGATGTTTTTTACTACAATTATTCCTTTGTAGATTATTGCGGCTAATATGAACTCTAAACGCATAACCTTCGACCGTGTTCAAAGAATTCTCTCTGATTTGAATACTAGTCCATAAGTAACAACTAAAGTGCGAACTGAAAACTTATGGGCATTGCTTGTCAGCATAGTGAATACGATTACCTATTATTATTATAAGGTTCCTAATCATATGGCAACTTTGCATTCCACGAACTTATGTTTACTGTTCCATGAACCTTTTGCATCATCTTAGTCTTGTTTTAAGCAAGGGCCGACTGCCTGTGTGCTATATGAGTTAAGCATGTTGCGTGGGCCAAACCATTAAGATTTCTTCACCCGGCTTTTCTCCTGTCTGTCTTTCATTTTTTAAATCGAAGTTAGCAGTTTATGTTAGAGCAAAATATTATATTTATACACTAATTTAATTGATTCGACATTTTACTATATCATTCAAATCCTTGTAGTGGTATTGGTCCTAACGCCACGATACTGGAAATTGAAAACAAAATAACTGAGAAAATTCAAATCCGACACTCAGCGAGGGGAGCAGGTCAGTTATGGTGAACGCAGGGATTAATCAATCCAAGTAACATGGCTCAGTCATGCAGACGCGGTTATTCTGTAAAACCTGCTTGGCGTATCAAATATGTTCGTCGGAAGTATTAGACGTCGTATTGCTGATTGTCATAATTGGACGGGTCAGTGTACAAAATGATGTGACTTCCATGTAAGGTCGTACAGATTAGGTGTCACATCATGACGAATCTTCGATTTCGTGATTGGGGGTATTACTTACTTACTTTCGCCTGTTACTCCTCGTGAAGGAGCATAGGCCGCTTACCAACATTCTCCATCCAACCCTGTCCTGGGCAACCCTTTCCACCTCTTTCCAGTTGTTAAGCATCCTTTTCATATCTGATTCTATTTCCCGACGTAATGTATTCTTTGGCCTTCCTCTTTTCCGCTTCCCTTCAGGATTCCAAGTTAGCGCTTGCCTCGTGATGCAGTTTAACGGTTTGCGTAATGTATGTCCTATCCATCAACTCCATCGTCTTTTCCTAATCTCCTCTTCAGCTAGAATCTGGTTTGTTCTCTCCTACAATAGGCTGTTGCTAATGGTATCTGGTCAATGGATATTGAGTATTTTGCGCAGACAACTATTTATAAATACTTGTACCTTCTTGATGATGGTTTTAGTAGTTCTACAAGTTTCAGCTCCGTACAGTAGAACTGCCTTGACGTTCGTATTGAAGATTCAGACTTTGATATTGGTTGACAGTTGTTTTGAGTTCCATATGTTCTTCAATTGAAGGAACGCGACCCTTGCTTTGTCAATGCTCACCTTTACGTTTACATCTGAACCTCCTTGTTCATCGATGATGCTTCCCAGGTATGTGAAGGATTCTACATCTTCCAGAGTTTCGCCATCAAGAGTGATTGGATTGCTATTCTCCGTGTTGTATTTGAGGACTTTGATTTTCCCTTTGTGTATGTTGAGGCCTACCGATGCAGAGACTGCTGATACTCTGGCTGTTTTTATCTGCATTTGTTCGTGTGTATGCTATAGGAGGGCTAGGTCATCTGCGAAGTCCAAGTCGTCTAATTGGTTCTGAGCTGTCCATCGTATGCCGTAGTTTCCCTCAGATGTCGAGGTTTTCATAATCCAGTCGACCACCAGAAGAAACAGGAAGGGAGAGAGTAGACAGCCTTGTCTTACTCCGGTCCTCACTTGGAATGCATCTGTCAGCTGTCCTCCATGCACTACTTTGCACTGTAGTCCGTCGTATAAGTTCCGGATAATATTGACAATCTTCTCAGGAACTCAGTAGTGTCGAAGAATTTTCCATAACGTTCTCCTATCTACACTGTCAAGTGCCTTCTCATAATCAACGAGGTTGATGTACAGTGATGAGTTCCACTCAATTGATTGTTCGACGATGATCCGTAGTGTTGCAATCTGGTCTGTGCACGACCGATCCTTACGGAATCCAGCTTGTTGATCTCGAAGTTGAGCGTCTACTGTGTCTTTCATTCTGTTCAGTAACACTCTGTTAAAGACTTTTCCTTGTACTGCAGTAGTGTAATGCCTCTGCAATTTTCACACTTGCTCAGGTCTCCATTCTTTGAAATCTTGATGAGGTGTCCTTCCTTCCAGTCCATCGGCACTTTTTCCTTCTCCCAAAGCTTCTTGAATAGAAGATGAAGCATGTTTGTAGTTACTTCGATGTCTGACTTAAGTGCTTCAGCTGGTATATTGTCGGGTCCTGCTGCTTTCTCGCTCTTGATTTGTCTGATGGCCATTCTGATTTCGTCCATCGTTGGTGGATTGACATCTATACGAAGATCTGTGTGTGCTGCTTCGATGTCCGGTGGATTCAGTGGTGCCGGCCTATTCAGGAGTTCCTCGAAGTACTCTGCCCAGTGATTGGCCCGTCTTCTTTGTCTTTGACTGGTCTCTCTGGTTTACTATATTTCCCTGCTAGTTTCTTAGTCGTATCGTAAAGCTGTTTCATATTTCCTTCTCTTGCAGCTTTTTCCGCCGTCGTTGCTAGTTCTTCCACGTATTTATGTTTGTCGGCTCTAATGCTCTTTTTCACTTGGTTGCTTGCTTCTATGTACTCAGCTTGTGCTTGGACTTTCCCTGCTGTCTTCTTGTTCTTCCTTTCTTTGATCCTGTCCAGTGTTTTTATATAGACCCATTCCTTGTGATGATGCTTCTTGGGGCCCAGAACCTCTTGACACGTTGAAGTTACTGCTTCTTTGATACCTCATTTCCGTTGCTATATGACTGGTCTCCCACATTGTCCGGACGTTCCATGTACCTATAAAAATTTTTGCTCTGGTTGTTAGAAGGGTCATCGTCCTCATGGCTTCCGAAGGAACTCGGCTTTCACCTTGAGGCGTCATAATTCTTCTAAATGAAGACCTTCTAACTCCCAGGGCAGAGTTTAAATGGTTTGAGTTATTTTTTCTGGTTAGCATATTTAGCGAGTTAGTTTTCTACGGGATGGGGTCGCTAACCCCATGCCCAACCCTCCTCGTTTACCCGGGCTTGGGACCGGCAGTAACTCTAGAAGAGCTACAGGCGGAGTTGATTAGGTGTATTACTATATTAAGAAAAATGTGCTAATATCGAATAAGACCATACTTCTACACCCTTGGTGCATCTCGTTTTACACCTTTTTTTATCTATTAATGTGCATGTAGTACTTGATAACGAATATAGTATCCACTCCTACCGCCAAACATCTCTCACATATTATGCTAAGTTCTGACGGTCTCTGTTCAGTCTGCATAAACCCCATTCATATTTACTCGGTAAACTATGTCCAGACAATCCTAATGTCGTTTAACCCTATCTGATGCTAATACCAAATGGAAAAGATCAAAACTATATTAACATGTTGACGGCTACACTAGACCTGAACCACCCGCCTGGTCACGACATCTCACTATCTCATACATCGCTCATACAGATAAACTCAATCAACCATAAACTGAGTGACCCGACATTATTTATTACCTCTTGAGACTCACTGAAGACTGACGCTTATCGGGTGAATTTGTTCAAAAATGTGGTCGACCACAGATACTCATTAAACCCTCAAACAGATTCTCTGTATAGTGGTTCTCAGATCACAAGTCTCTCTGCAATGGACGACTCAGTGATGCGGATCTCGATTATTTTCCTGATGATGTATTCCTTTCATCAACCAAGTATACACAGACCAACCTCACAATAGCCACTTGAGGAGTGCATTTGCGTAACTTTGTCAACCCGCACAATTTCGGCGTTAGTCGGCGTAGGAATTACGACGGATATGGAACTCCTGAGACAACTGAAAGTCTATGAGTTGACATTCTGCTGCTTTGTAGTACAATACAGTCATCGAAATCAAAACGATTTCTACATAAAATATGTATGCAAAGGAGAGCAACCTCCCGCAATTATTTCCGAGTATAGTGCATTTTAATCTTCTTTGTTTAAATCATTTAGTTTTATGATACTTGTTAATAAGTCAGTGAATACTTAGAACTATTTTTCATTTAAAAAATAAAATACATCAAGTTAGTCTTCAAGATTAAAGTATTTAAATCTTATGAAAATATTTCCTCAAACATTACGTGTTAACAGTTGTAATAATTGTACTTAAAATGGTCACTTGCTGAAGCTGGCTTGAATGTTGCTTTAAAGTAGAGAACGACTATGAAGTGTGATTGATCAAATGAACGTTTTGGATAAGTAAACAATGATCACATTTCCAGTTCGTTTTAAGAAACAATACAACGTAATTTATTGCTACCCACTACCACTTCGTGGGTCTGTATATTTAACTTTTCTTCATATGTACTAATAATCTGATAATAAGCAAAACGATTATTATGTTAGCATCGTGTGGC